TATAATCATTTGAATTTTCAAATTAAGCAAGTATTATTTTAAAATCAGAACTTTAGAGGCTGTAGTCAGTGTGGCATGTGCAGAGCCCTGTGTATGATCTTCAAAAGCAGTTTTTAAAAAAAGGAAAATTCAAAGTAAATGCTGTGGTTAGAGTTGTGAAGAATTTAAGCAAATGAACCATTTCAGGACATTAAGGATGTAAGCGGCAAGTCAGCCAGCTTTTGGACTATCATATGGAGGGTAATAACCAGGTAGAGACAACAAATACTCTTTCATAACCCTGGCATTCTTTTTATTGTGATGGGACTTGTAAGTAGTTCAGGATTTTATACTTCATACCCTGTGTATCTTCCAGAGAACAAGCAATCTGCTGACAAAATGGTAACATGTGACTCCTGTCTATCTTAGGAATTATTCCTTGGGAAAAAAGATACAGTGGAATCAAGGAAAGGACACTTTCTTATGAAGACAAGAAAATGATCAAAAGTGAGTAGAGGCAGATACTAGAGTCCTTGAAAGGCTGTGATGCAGGCACAAAAGATCCTGAAGGTCAGCTTAGAAAAGAGGTTTAAAGATAATCAGGGTTAACTCATCTCTACATGGGGAGAACCAATGACCTGTTAGGGGCCATTTGGCAACGACACTCCTTGACCAGTGTTTCCTACCCCATGGCTGGCACAGCTTCACACAAATCTCTCCTAAAGGCATCCAACAAAGTTATCATGTAATACATCTCTCCTTTTGCTTACATTTGGCATTCCAGTCCATTTAGCAAATCCCAACACTTAGAATATATCACTTAATACCTCCTCTGCTTACCTATTAAGCCAAACCCCCACCTTCTACCTAGGAAATACTGAAAGAACCTTTTGTTGGCTATCTTTACCCAAGCTCCAAAGTGCTTCCTTTATACAAAAGCCAAACTAATTTTTAAAAACTGTCTACACCAGTGTTTGTCATGAGAACTATTCTTTAGCTCACATATTGATGTTTAAACCAAAGTAATTTTTAAAACACAAGTCAGATTTCATCACTCATTTGTTTAAAATTGTCCAGTGACTTCTTTTCTACTTAGAATAAATTTAGTCTTTTTTTGTGGCCTATAGAGTTCTGCATAGCTGACTACCTCCTTGTCCATTCTGTTTTTGCCAACAAAGCTTCTTTTCTGTTCTCCGAACATTAAGCAGGTAGCTGGGTGTGGTGGCAAATGCCTGTAATCCCAGAACTTGAGAGGCTGAGGCAGGAGGATCACCTTGAGTTTGAGACCAGCCTGGGCTACACAGTGAGTCAAGGCCAGCCTGAACTACACAGTGAGACCTTGTATCTAAAACAAAAACAACATGTTTATACCTCAGGATCTTTTACTCAGCATTCCCCCTCTTTTTTTTTGGTACTAGGGATTGAACTTGGGTTCTTGTGCTTGCAAGGCAGGCCACCGAACCGCTGAGCCCCCCCCCCCACTTTTGGTAGCACTGAGGATTAATTCCAGGGCCTCATGCATGCTGGGCAGGTGCTTTCCCACCGAGAGACATCCCAGCTCTCTAAATTCTCAGAATACAATGCTCAGATGGCTTACTCTTCCATTTCATTCAGGTTTTCTTTCAAATGTTATGTCCTCAAAGAGATCTTCCTTGACTATCCCAAATAAAATAGTATCTTCAATGTCTTTACTTTGCTTTTTTCTTTAATATTATGCACTAACAAGTTATAACTATCTGATTATTATCTGCCCCTGGCACTAGAATGAATATAAGTACCATAAGCAGAAGGATATTGTTTGCAGCTATTTCTTCACTCAATTAGTACTTTTTTTTTTTTTTTTTTTTTGTACTGGGGATAGAACTCAGGTCCTTGCGCTTGTGAAGCAGGTGGCAAAACCACTGAGTTAAATATCCAGACATCAATTAGTACTTTTCACAGTGCAGAGCAAGTAATCAGTATATAGTTTTTAACTAATGAATGAACATTTTGGTTTCAGTTATTAGTTGAGTTTGCTATTTCCTTAAACTTTACTTTAAATGCCTTGTGATACCATAGCCAAAGGTCAATAATTTAATTTCTTTTCTTTTTTTTTTTTTTCCTTTTTTTGAGACAGGGTGTCCCTATGTAGTTGAGACTGACCTGGAACTCACTGTGTAGCCCAGGATGGTCTCGAACTTGCAGCGATCCTCCTGCCTCAGCCTCCCGAGTGCTGGTATTACAGGTGCGTGCCACCACGCCCGGCAATAATTTAACTTTTCAAAAGAACAGTTTTCTTTCTGGACCATTTAATTTAGCTATATACATTGTGCCAAGAAGATAAACAGAAGGGAAGGCTGTCCCTTGACTCATGTTGTGGCAGATACTGGGATCTACCTAGCATTACCTATAAAACTAGGTCTAGTCTCAACACAGCAGCAGAGTGATCCTTTTAAGATAAGTCATCCAATTAACAACCAGGAAGATTGCTGTAAACCTTACAACAGCTCCCTGTTTCTCTCAGAATACAATCAGAAGTTCTTAGGATGGGATATGAGGCCCTATAACAGCGATAGAGAACCTTTTAGAGCTTTCAATGATACAAACAGCCTGCTTCTGTGTGTGCCATCGGTTCACCGCCACTACCCAATAGGATTTGCCTGTTACTTCTCTGATGTCATCTTCCACTCTCCCCTGCCTTCCGCTTATTCCTTCTCATTCCTTAGATAGACGAGGCACACTCCCAACTTGGGGCATGTGTAACTGGCTCGTTCTCTGTTTGAAATGCTCCTCATCTAAAAATCCACAGGGGTAATTCCTGAAGTCTGCTCTAATATCTCCTTCATAATGAGGCTCTCAGCTTGACACTCCTACTTAAAATTACAACCCAGAGCTTGACTCCCTTTACCATGCTCCATTTTTCTTTTTCTTTTTTTTATGGTTTTCACCCTCTCACATACTATAAAGTTTACTTATTTATTCCAATTTTTTTTTTGTTTTTTGGTACCTGGGATTGAACTCAGTACTTGTGCTTGCGAGTCAGGCAGCGGAACCACTGAGCTAAATCCCCAGCTCCTTACTTATTTGTTATGTGTGTTGTCTTCTCAATAAAACGTAAGCTCCATAAGGCAGGAATCTTTGCTTGTTTTGTTCATTGTCTACCAGCATCTAGAATAGCAGCTAACATACAGTAATACACACACACACACACACACACACACACACACACACACACACACACGATATTTGTGATGAGCCAGGCATGATGGGTGCAGCTTCCCAGCACTTGGGAGGCTAAGGCAGGAGGACTGCTGTGAGCTCAAGGCTAGCCTGGGCTACATTGTAAATTTAAGATCTGATCGAACTACACAGTGAGAACCTGTCTTAAAAAAAAAAAAAAAAAAAAGAAGAGAAAAAAATTGTGATGAAAGGTACAACAATTTTGTAGTCTTCATCCTGACAGATTATTTATGTCTCGGCTGTCTTTGAAGGAGATAACACCATCACAAATTGAAGTTAAAGTTAACCTATAGGTCAGGAAGTGATAGTTTATACCATATTGGAAACAAAACAAAGTAAAACTAGACTTAGAGTCAAAACAACTGGATTTTGTGCCTCAGTTTCATTTTGAATCAATTATTTGGTTGTAAATGTGCTTAACTTCTCAGCATCCCTTGCAAGTTAAAAGAGTAACAGCTTATGAAATAGCCAGGGAATGAGTAAAAATACAAAAGGTACATGATTGTATTTGGAACTATTTTTCTTTCAATGCTGAGTTTTTTTGTTTTGTTTTTCTTCCTGAGTTTTTAAGAGAAAATTCCTTCCCCCTTGACCTATGTTTGTTCAGTTAGCTAAGGGGCAATAGAGCACATAAATGAAACTTAAGAGGAAGAAAGGAGCCAACTACAGTACCAACTAAATCATTAACTGTAAACAAACTGGAAAGTAAGACAGAATAATGGGGCCAACCCATTCAGAAACCCCAGAAGAGAAACAGGCCTTGGTAGGTTGTTTTGCCACCTTTTGTTTTTTTAAGTGATGCTGGGAACTGAACCCAGGGCTTTTTGCATGCTAAGCCAGTGCTCTACCACTGAGCCATCCCCTACTCCCCAGCCCTTTAACAACTGAAGAATAGACCACAGAATTAAAAAGAGCAATCATATAAAATAGCTATTATTCAACAGGCTCTCAATGAATCAACTCATCCTTACCTGGCAATGCTGAAGCTCAATCAGAGCAGCCATCAGTCCAGATGAAAGCATGCTATGGTTGAGCCAGTTACCCAGAGAAATAGAATTGTACCACACAAATTTAAAGCCAGAGTGAAAGTCATATTGAGAGATACTTTGTAAGTCTGAAAAGAAATTATACTTCTATTAACTATTACTTGGGGAACTTATTAGGACCAAGTAAAATCTTGGGTTGGAAAATTTTAGTGTGAATATAATCAAATTAAAGAACTAAAGTGATGAAAGATTTTCCAAGTGTGAGGAACACAAACAATGGCGCTGGATTGATTATAACTTCTATAGACCCAAATACTATAGTTCAGAAAATATGTTAAGGGGAGACCTAGCCCAATGGAAGAGGCAGAAAAGAGGAGAAACTGCAGTGTTTGACAGACAGACAGCAATATACTCGTTCCAGCCCACAGATTTCTCTCTGTTGACTTATCTCCATGGACCAACCTACTGATCTTATCTTTATGGTAAAAAATCCAACATCCCCAAAATACTGACTACCATTCTCACATTCATTATATCTTACAGTTTTGAGTTTACCCAGCCCTCAATCCTAAAGATAAAGAGAAAATGGCTTATAGTATAAGTAGGTATCAAATTTGGAAGAAGACAATCATTTTAAACGATTGTGATGAGGCAGCTCTAAAGCATCCACAAGCACAGGACATAGGGCTAGTACAGGAATAATGCAGACAACTCTGTTGGGATAGTCATGTTTAGGATGGCTAATGACCCTGTTCTTTCCTCTTCCAGGTTCTGAGTTTGATTCTTGGGGTTGGGGACACAAAGAGAGAGAGAGAGAGAGAGAGAGAGAGAGAGAGAGAGAGCACACTAATAAAGAATCACTTGGCCTTACCACATCAATCTCTGTGTTGGAATGCCCCATGTTGCATACAATGCAGCTATTCTTCATGCGGTCCAAATGCTCTCTGGTTACCACATTCTTATTACCTTAAAAACAGAAGAGATATCCACAAGAAAAGGAATGAAGGTGGACCTTCCCACCTTACACAATATGTAAAAATTAACTCCAAATAGATCACAGACCTAAAATGTAAGAACTAAAATCATAAAACTCTTAGAAGATCATAGAAGTAAATCTTTGAAACCTTGGGTTTGGGTAATGGTTTACTTAGACATTTACACCTTAAGCATAAGCAACCAATAACAACAACAACAACAAAAAGACACACTGGGCTATGTAAAAATTTAAAACTTTTTTCCAATACTGGGGACTGAACTCAGAGCCTTGCACATACTAGGCAAGAGCTCTACCCCTGAGCTATATCCCTAACCCTTTTATAAATTTTATTCTGAAACAGGTCTTGCTAGTTTGTTAGGCTGCCCTTAAAATTATGATCTTCCTCCCTTAGCCTCGCAAATAACTGGGATCATGGTATAAAATCACCATGCTTGGCCAAAAACTTTTGTATTGCAAATGATATCACTAACAGAATGAAAAGACAACCCACAGGGTGGGACTGAGTTTTTGCAAACCATGTAACAGAAAAGCGATTTGTATCCAGAATACATAAAGAACTCTTATGATTCCCAAAGACAAATAACCAACATAAAAATGAACAGAAAGTCTGAATAGACATTTCTCCAGAAGATACACAAATGACCAACAAGCATCTCAACATCATTAGTCACTACAGAAGTGCAAATCAAAATCACAGTGAGATATTACTTTATACTCACTGCGATGGTAAAAATAAAAAGAGAGACAGTAACAATGGTTGGTAAGGATACAGAGAAATTAGAATTCATGTGCACTGTTGAGGGCACCGTACAATGGTGGATATAGTGTGATCTGGCTGTGACATCTGTCAGCTCACTGATCACCAGGGCTGAAAAATATGGCAATTCCTCAAAATTGTAAAGTAGAATTAGTTTATGACCCAGCAATTCTATTTGCAGTATATATCCAGGAAAATATATGTTCACATAAAACCTTATATACAATGTTCATTGTAGCATTATTTATGTTTTTGTTTTTGTTTTTTTTTGAGGTGGTGCTGGTGATCGAACCCAGGTCCTTGTGCATGTTAGGCACATACTCTAGCCCTGAGCTACATCCTCAGGTCCATAGTAACATCATGAAAGCCCAAAAAAGTAAAACACAAATGTTCAACAAATGATAAATAGCAAAATAAAATGTGGTAGATCCATGCCATGGAATACTATTTAATAATAAACATGAAGTACTGATATATGTTATCATGTGGATAACCTTGTAAATATAATGTCAAGTATAAGAAGCCAATCACAAGAGTACATATTAGATGATTTCATTTATATGAAGTGTCCAGAATGGGCAAAACTCTATCCTAGGGCAGGAGGAGGGTAAAAGGTAGAATAAGGAGTGGTTAAGGTATGAAGTTTCTCTTTTGCAATGATGAAAATGTTCTAGAGTTAGATAATGGGATGTTGCACAATTTCATTAAAAATTACTGAGCTGTACACAATTTATGCAATGTGAATTATATCTCAATAAAAAATAGATTGTGGTGATGGTTGTACAACCCTATGAGTTTACTAGAAAACATAGAATTGTACACTTCATTTATTCATTTTGATTCATGAGACTGACCCCTGGGCCTCTAAGCTATACCCCAGCCCATACTGTACACTTTAAGTGGGTGACATATATTGTACACAAACTGTATCTCAATCAGTCTGTTAAAAAAGAAAAAGATTCAAGATATTGACAGAGTAATGTAAAGCAATAACAGTTTCTTTATTTTTTTAAGCACTACGGACTGAACCCAAAAGAAAAAGATTCAAGAGATTGACAGATTAATGTAAAGCAATAACAGTTTCTTTATTTTTTTTAAGCACTACGGACTGAACACAGGGCCTTCACACTAAGCCACATCACCAGTCCTTTTTATTTTTTATTTTGAGACAGGGTCTCACTAAGTTGACCAGGCTGGGCTTGAACTTGTGATCATCCTACTTCATCCTCCCAAAATGCTGGGAGTGCCACCACACACAGCTCCATTTTAATTGTGTGATAGGGTCCTGTTAAAGTGCTCAGGCCAGGCTCAAACTTGCAATCCTGCTGCCTTGGACTCCTAGGCATGGACCACTACACTTTGCTTAAGAACAGCTTCTTAAAGTCTTTCCTCTTTCCTGCTCTCAGCTCTCCCTACACTCTGATGTTCCCCCTCTAAAACAAAATTATAAAGGAAAACCAAGTTTTCCTTTGATTTACGTTTTACCACAAAAATCAAATATGTTTTTTAATTTAAGAAAACTAGCCTGCTTGGTGTGGTGGCATATGACTGTAATCTTAAAGTTGGGTGGCTTGAGCAGAAGGATCACCACAAATTCAAGGTCAGACTGGGCTACACAGTAAGTTCGAGGCCAGCTTGAACTACAAAAGTTAGACACTGTCTCAAAAAACGTAAACAAACCAAAAATAAATAAATAAGTAAATAAAAAATTTTAAAAAGAGAAGAAAAGGAAAAAGAACACTAGCCATCTCTATCTATATATGCTTCTCTAAAATCCAAGATCTATTTATTTGGGAATTAATACAATAACAACTTCTACTTTTTCTAACTGTGAAAAATTTTGCTTTGGCCTTGCCTTAATTACAGGGATTACAGAGAAATATCCTTCATTTTTTTTAACTTCACTTTTGTAGGTAAAATAAAGAATCAAGGGGCTCAGTCATAAATATGTTTAGCATGCTTGAGACCCTGGGTTCAACTGCCAGTACTAAAAAATAATAATCAAATGTACAAATTTAAGATCTAGTTTTGAAAATAAACCTCTACAAATGAATCTCATATCTAACCATCTCCTAGGTAGTTGAGGATAGATGGAGATATAACAATTATAAAAGATGGAGAGAAATATTCCTATTATACCTTTGGTCAGACCTCTAAAGAGGTAGGAAGAATGTGACAGAGACTGATTGGTTTTGTGGACCACTCTCTGGCTTTCTGGCTTTAGAGTCTGCTTTGTTCAAAACATATCCAGTCATCTTTCAAGTATTCTATGGAAGCACTCCCAAGTGCCACGTCACGCAATATGTTACAATCATACCTGTACAAGTAATAACAATGTCCACTTGTCGGATGACCTCATTTAATTTCACCAGTCGAAATCCATCCATACTGTAAAAATAAAGCATTATCAATGAACCTAAATTGGCGCCTGAGAAGCCTTTGCCACAGAATCTTAAATGCTATTACCAACTTCTTCTGGTACCTATAATATCTCTTCTTAAGATAGCTGGACTATTCCTATTAGTGAAAAATCCAAACCATTTCCTTAGTTCACACAGGAGAGAAATAAAAGCTTCCTTCATATCACTGGAATTTATTTCTTACTACAATGGGGACCCAGGGTTTATCATGAGATTCCCAACTAAATTTCTAGAAAGTGTCATTTAGCCACTAAATTTACTACCCTATTAAAACTGCCCTCCAAAGATCATCAATGATTTCCCGGATGCCAACAGATAAAAACATTTCTTAAACTCTATTCCACTTGATTTCTCCTATTACACTAAATATTATATTTCTTGGATTCCATGTTTTTGTCTCCTGCTTTTTCTTTTATTTTCTAATTATCTCTTTTCAATCTCAGCCAACCTTTAATGTTGGTACTCTGTAGGGTTCCACACTGGACTTCTCTATTTTTTCAGTACTCATTCATTCCTTGCCCTTAACTGCAAATGAGCATTTATAGCTATGTGATTTGCACATTTGTATCTTTAATTTAGATCTATCTGAAGCTTCATAGAAAAGGGTCAAGTTATCTACTGAGTAACTCCTTACAGATGTATGAGAAGGACCTTAAACTTACTGTATTGGAAAATACTCTTTTATGCACTTCCTCCCCATCTAGTTCTTTTTTTTTTTTCTATTTTGATCAATAGATCACTGATCATCCAACTGTTTGAGCAAATAAAATAGAATACCATAAAGCTACTGCTCTCTGTAATTGAAGCTGTCACCAAATCTGGTTGATTCTATTTTCTTAAAAATCTTGGATCTGTCCTCTTACACTTGATACATGCTGTCCTTGCTTAGTTTTTTTTAGTACCGGGGATCAAACTCAGGACCTTGCACTCGTGAGGCAGGCAGTGGAACCACTGAGCTAAATCCCCAACCCTGCTTAGTTCTTACAACTTAAATTCTTAGCACTTTTTGTCTAGATTACAGCAGTAACCTCTGGCCTAATCTTATCGCTTCTAGATTTACATCATTAAAATCATGTTGCAGGGTGATTTTCCTAAATACAAACAAATGTCACTTCCTTAAAATACTTCAACAGGACTGCCTTTCTTCAGGATAAGGTCTGAATACTAATATAGATGTATGATTATACTGACATATGATTTCTACCTCAGATGTTATCACTCTCCCAAATTTATTTTATCTGCTAACTACATTCAAATACTTACAGCTTCTTAAATACGCTGTGCTGTCTTCTTTGGATACTGTGCACTTGTTCCCTACACCTGGCACAGACTTCCAAACTAAGGAAACACAAGTTTCTCAGTTCTCAGTTTCCTTCTCTCTGCCTCTCTCTCTATCTGTATGTATGTGTCTTTGTTGTTGTTGTTATTGTTGTTAGCTTTTTCTTGTATGTGTGTGTCTTGCTGTGAAGTCCAGGCTGGCCTGAACTCACCGTGTAGCCCAGGCTAGCCTTGAAGTTGAGGTGATCCTCCTGCCTCCAACTCCTCAGTGCCCCATTCACCCTGCCTGCCAAGACAGCTACCCTGCCTTTTTCTTTTATTAGAGGTTTCTCCTTTGCTCTCCTATAGAAGCATGTGCCATCTACTTTCATAATAGCACTTACTGTACTGCACAGTGGTTATTTATCTGTGTTCTTCTAAAAGTAGGGCCTTGTCTCATTTATCTCATCTTATCCTCAGCACACAGCACAGTACATAACAGATACTCTGAACTATACTATAATCAGTATATGTTCAGGCTTCTATAATGAATCCTGATGGTTCCCCTCACATGCTGGAACCCTGCCTTAGAGAAAATCAACAGCTCTGCTAGGGAAATCTGTGGATTTATGGTTAGGAAATATGAGGAATGGTAGGGCAGAGGAAAATGGCATCATGCTATGCATATTCTACCCCGAGGACCTCCTTTTGGGAGGGTTAGTGGTAAAGACTGTGTGAGGTATACAGGTTACGGACACTTGGACCTGCAAGTTTTTAGGGACAGTGACATTTCCATCTTATTAACAATAGCGACCATTTAGTGAACATCTATTTTTGTGACAACAGCTCTGTACCTTATTATTTATTAAATATGATAATTATTTTATTGAACTCTTACAATTCTGTGAAGTAGGTAAGATTATCTACATAATAAAGGTAAGAAAAGAACCACTCTTTTTAAAAAGCTTTTAATTTCAGTGTTATTTTATTGTAGACAGCTAAGTTAAGTAGAAATATTATAAGCTGTCAGATAGGGTTAGGCCCTAGAGAGAATCAGGATAAAGATGGAACACATCACAATCGTGTCAGGAGATATGTGTTAGAGATGAGGCCTCAAGGTAAAGACGAAATGACCAGGCCTGCATATTTCCTCAAAAGACAAACACCGAGCCTAATAAAGTCTAGATAGACATGAGTCATCCTAGTGGGTGACCAAAGAACTCTGGACCCATCATTTCCTAGAAGTAGTCTTTGTTCTTTCCATGCACACTTGCTATGTGACTTGTTTCCCAATTGGATCACTGTTACCTAAACAACAATATTTGTAACCTTACTGGTTAATCAAATCCATAAGCCATGTTGTACCCACATGGGTTTTGCTCTATAAAACTTCCCAGTAAAGTGGGGTCCCACTTACCCATTTGGGTCCCCTCTTGCCTCTCAGGAGCTATCTTTTCAATAAATATTTTGCTACTCTTAACCTATGTTGTTCCTAGAATTCATGCTTCGATTTTTAGAGAACACAAATTTGACATATCAGACATCTAACAGGTTGAGATATATAATATTAAGAGTAGTACAAATTCTCACATACGCTTCACTCAATAGTTAGCAGGTTTGTCTGATTATTTCTTCATGATTAGATTCCAGTCATACATTTTGGGGAGGAATATCACAAAAAAAGCTCTTTTCAGGGCATCACATCAGAAAACATCTGTTACCATCACCTCTCCATTCCTCTCTATGGTGCTGGGCCTTTGGTGAGCTAGGCATATGCTCTATCACTAAGCCACACACCCAGCACCCCTATTGTTTTGATCACTGTTCTGTAAGGCACAGGGATTACATATGGTGGAGAAAAGAGGCTATTTGTTCTCTGGCTCAAAGCATCTCCTGTTACTATTTCCACAGGAATTCTAAATTTAATCTTCTGTCAGATCAGAGCTCCTTGACCTTTGAAAGACAGATGCTTACAGTTTCAGCAGCTTCTCTTGGGATCTGGGGCTTTCTGATATAAGATGTGGCATTATCCATGCTATTCTTTGGAGGCATGTTAGATGGTGGTGTAGAAGAGGGAGCAGGTCTCCCTGTGCATGCTTACCAAGCTTGCAGGGCACAGATGGGGTCGATTTCAGTTACATACACAATGGAGCCCATGGCTTTCAGAGCAGCACAGCACCCCTTCCCCACCTGAACAAGAGAGAATACATATAATAAGGGAAGTCAGTGAGAAAACAGCTCTCAAAGCTTCTGGTAAAGAGCACTTTTCTTTCTGCCTCCAAAAAGAATTTCACTGAATAGATTCATGCTTGGGGAAAAATAAAAACAATAAATGCAGTTCACAAACAAACCCCTAGACCCTACTTAGCACATTCAAGTGCACAAGAACACCCACACTCACGATTTATAATCAAAACAGAAGCTAAAAGAACATCACAAGCAGTGGTGTTGAAACAAGTCAGAAAATCAACTTAGGAAAAAAATGAGAAGGGAAAAAGAAAGATTATACTTTAACCAGAGGGCCTCTAAAGTAATTTTTCCCATATAAAGTGGTAAATGAATATACTTATGTCTCTGTGTATGAAAAATTCTAGACTACTTCAGCAAAACACATTTGAAATACGTAGTAAGAGAAAGGTTAAACTTTACCTCTCCGTAGCCACAGACCACCACTTGCTTTCCACCAAACATCATGTCTGTTGTCCTTTTAAGTCTAGGGAGAAAAACACCATTAAATCAGGAAAAAAAAATCTCATTTTGCCCCGGAGGTTAAATTGAGTATCTAATTTGCTTTGTTTTCCTTCCCAAAGGAAGACATCCTCTCTCTGTGACTATAAATGGCTGTGGTAGAATGGAAATATGATCAACACTGCTACTTCTACAAATAGGTGATAGACATATATGGATTCTACATAGGGAGGTTTCCCTGTGATCTTAGGGTCCCAGATCTGCCTTAAAGTGAAAGGATATGGGCTGGGGTTTGGCTCAGTGATTCCACTGCCTGCCTTGCAAGCACAAGGGCCTGAGTTCCATCCCTAGTAC